AATGAGACGCTTCCAAACCAGCTTGCTTCTGCTCTGCGTGGTGGCCGCCACCGCCATCCCCATCGTGCCCTGGAAGGTCAAATGCCCGCTGCAGTGTGTCTGCCAGATCAGGCCATGGTACACCCCCCGCTCGGTGTACCGGGAGGCTGCCACGGTGGACTGCAATGACTTGTTCATCTCTGCCGTGCCAGAAGACCTGCCGGAGGGGACCCAGACCCTGCTCTTGCAAAGCAACAATATCGCCAGGCTTGAGCAGAGTGAGCTGGACTATCTCAGAAACCTCTCGGAGCTGGACCTGTCGCAGAACAGCTTCTCCGATGTCTGGGACTTTGGCCTGAAGAGCATGCCCCAGCTGCTCAGCCTGCACCTGGAGGAGAACCAGCTGGCTGAGCTGCCCGATGGCAGCTTTCCTGGGCTGGGCAACCTGCAGGAGCTCTACCTGAACCACAACCAGCTCCGCAGGATTGCTCCCCACGCCTTCTCCGGCCTCGGTAGCCTGCTGCGCCTCCATCTCAACTCCAACCTGCTGAGGACGGTTGACAGCCGCTGGTTCCAGATGCTCCCCAGCCTGGAGATCCTCATGATTGGAGGCAACAGGGTGGATGCAATCTTGGATATGAATTTCAGGCCTCTGTCAAACCTGCGAAGTTTGGTTTTGGCTGGGATGAATTTGAGGGAGATCTCGGACTATGCGCTGGAAGGGCTGCGGAGCCTGGAGAGCCTCTCTTTCTATGACAACAAGCTCATGAATGTCCCCAAGCGGGCACTGCAGCAAGTTCCTGGCCTCAAGTTCCTGGATCTGAACAAAAATCCATTGCAGAGGGTCAAGCAAAGCGACTTCACCAACATGCTGCACCTCAAAGAGCTGGGGCTCAACAACATGGAGGAGCTGGTGTCCATAGACCAGTTTGCCTTGATCAACCTCCCCGAGCTGACCAAGCTAGACGTGACCAACAACCCCAAGCTGTCCTTTATCCACCCCAACGCATTCCACCACCTTCCCCAACTGGAAACCCTCATGCTCAACAACAACGCCCTAAGTGCCTTGCATAAGCAGACGGTTGAGTCCCTGCCCAACCTGCAGGAGATCAGCATCCACAGCAACCCCATCCGCTGCGACTGCGTCATCCGCTGGGTCAACAGCACGGAAAACCACATCCGCTTCATTGAACCCCAGTCCACGCTGTGTGCCGAGCCCCCCGACCTCAAGAGGAGGCACATTCGGGATGTCCCCTTCCGGGAGATGACGGACCGGTGCCTGCCCCTCATCTCTACCAAGAGCTTCCCCTCCCACTTAGAGCTGTCAGATGGTGACAGTGTCTCCTTGCATTGCCGAGCTCTGGCAGAGCCAGACCCGGAGATCTACTGGGTCACCCCTTCGGGGAGGAAGCTGATCCCCTACGTGGAAGACGGGCGGTACAAGGTGCACCCTGAAGGGACGCTGGAGATTCATGGGATCTCAGCTCGGGAGGCTGGGCTGTACACCTGCGTGGCTCACAACCTCCTCGGGGCAGACACCAAGAGCATCAGCATGATGGTCAACCACTCCTTCCCGCTCAGCGAGGACAGCCTGGAGCTGGTGGTGGCAGAGGTCCAGGCCTACCACATCCTGGTTGCCTGGAAGCCGCATCTCAACACCATCTCCTCCAACCTCACCTGGTCCAGCTTCTTGCTTAGCTCCAACTTGGACATGACTAACGTGGCCCGGATCCCCATGGGGACCCACACATACAACATCACCCGGCTCCACCAGGACACGGAGTACTGGGCTTGCCTCCACGTGGCCTTTGTAGACTTGCAGGCCAAGGTGGCTTGCGTGAACGCCAGGACTAAAGAGGCTGCCCACCGCTACTGGCTCCTGGAGGGCAGGCAGAGCCTCCTGACAGTGCTGGTCCTCTGTCTCCTGCTCCTTGCTGCAAGCCTTGTAGCTCGCTACGGTGTCAGGGCAGAGCCCAGGAGGGCTGGGGAGTTGCTCCAAGGTGCCACAGCTGTGCGCGTGGTCTATCCCCCCCTCGCCCAGCCCTGGGCTCGGGGGCAGCGTGGGGGGCAGCTCCTGGCTGTGGAGGTGCAAGCAGCCCCCCTGGACTGCTGAAGGCTGACACACTGGGGGGGCTGATGGTGGGGTGGGGAGGGAGAAACTATTTTTTACCAAAAAAAATAACTAAACTACAAAACTGAACAAAAACAACAACAAAAAAAAAGGAATTTCATGGACTTGACCAAGAGTCGAAGCGGCGTGGCAGATGGAGAGGAGCAGAGCTGGCCACGGGGCTGGCAGAGCCTCTTTGTGGTCCTGGCAGGGTCTGGATCCATGCGTAGGGTCTGGATCTGTGCGTGGCTCCCGAAAGCACCCGCTGGGCAGCCGGGAGGGCTCAGAGGGGCCCGAGCCCGAGGGGGACGATGCCCTGAGCGGACGAAGAGCCATACAGATGATCAGCAGATCACCCCTTCCCCATGTCCCCCTGGCACCATGAGACGCCCCAGCGGTGTCAGCTCCTTCGCTGGACAGTCCCTGTTTTAGAAATACAAAAAAGGCCTTTCCCTTTGGGATACATGTTCTTTTTTGTTTCTTTTTTTGTTTTTTTGGGGGGGTTGTTTTTTTTTTTGAGCACTCAGATAATCAGCCACAAACCCACCCCTGGCGCCTTCCCCCTGCCCTGTCGTTTGCTTGCTGCCATCAGCCGGAGGGAAGAAGAGGGGAAAGGAGGGGACTTTTAGCAAAAGAAACAGAAATGACGATGGTGACACATCTCTTAATTGGCATCCCTGCGGGGCTGGCCAGCTTCTGCTGGAGTTGATTGGATCCTGTATCCCGCAAGCCTAATCTCAAGGCTATTTTGTAAACTTTTGTGGATAATGTTAAAAAAGAAGAAAAATGGGAAGAAAAGGGGGGGAGGAAGTTCTTGCTTTTCTGTTTTTGTATAAAAAAAAAAAAGGAAAAAAAAAAAGGAAATCCTTTGTACGCTGGTGTGCAGCTGGAGGGCTTGACGGTAGGAACCCCTTGCTCCAGATGCAGGAGGGGCTGGGGGGGCTCTGCAGGACAGTCCCTGCACGTACCCTGTGCATCGCTGTGCATGTGGCGGGAGGTGAAGGGGGGGATGCAAAACCTGCTCTCCTGGGCTCTTGCTGCTTCTTTCTCTGATAAGCAACTAAAACGGCAAATGAAAGGGAGCGGTGCCCCCCCTCCCCCCTGGGTTGTGCCAAACAAAGGGACGTGGCAAACCCAAATCAGCGAGGCTTGAAGGAGCCCTGTCCCTCCCGCGCGACGGGCACTGATGCTGCCGGTGATGTTCCCCTCCCTGGTTAATGTGAACAAGCCATCCCTTTGCTTGGGCCTAAACCTAATCCCCGCTTGTTAGAGGTGAGGACTTTGGGGTCGCTTTAACTGCAACCCTAAACAAAACGTGCCTTTACCAACACACACGCGGCCCCAAGAGACCCCGGTGCAGCCCGCGGTGTGGGCAGGGGTGCATCCAGAGCCTGGCCGGCACCTCGCTTGGGGGTCTTTCCATGGGAAAGACCAAGAAAAAACATCCCAGCCAGACCTGGGGGGGGTGATGGGGTGCGGGTACCCCAGGAGACGGTGTCTCCGTGCAGACGTGGTGCCCCCTCGGGCAAAGCCGGTTGTGCCAGCGCAATTGCTACGTGCACGGGGCTTTGAAGGGACCAGAATACCCTGACACAATAAAAAGCTGTTTGAACTTCTCATTCATCTTCCAGCCAAGGCGAGATGGTTCCCCGCTGGATAAGCTCCATGCTCAGCCAGGCACACAAAACGGCTTCTGTGCCTTCGCTGGGTAATTATTTCGGAGGGTAATGGCTCTCCCCGGTCCCCGTTCAGCACACCATCGCCACTCGCCAAAGCACTTCAGCATGTGTTCAGGACCCAGCGAGATCTCCAGGGGCCCTAAGCACAAGCTGAAAGTTAAGTGCAGGCTTAAATACTTTGCTGAATTAGAGTCATGATCTGCTTTGAATATTCAGCTGCAGAGCCCCAGCCCCTGTCGGCTCCGCTCAGGTGTGCAACCGTCGGTATTTGCAGACTCAGGGCCTGAAACAGCCTTTCTCCTCTGCCTTTTGCACAGCAGGGAAACTTAAATGCAAAATATATTCCCTGTGGTTCAGCTAAATTGGTGCTGGAACATGTGGAAATAGTTGCTTAGAAATTTCCCTGGTGTAAACGCATCCCTGATCTAAACCTGCTCGTCCCTGCGATGCATGGGCTGAGCCCCAGGCAGCCGGGCAGCGCCTGCGTCTCCCGTCCCCTCCGCCATCCCACTCCCTGCAAAAAACATCATCAGTTCCCAGACAAAGCAAGGACCGAGCCCCTTAAAGGCTGTAATTTTGTAGGTGTAGAGAAAAAGCCTCTTTGATCACGGTTATCGTGGCTGCTGCCGCCACGCTGGGATGGGAGGTGAAGGTTCAGTCGCTGCCTGAATTGTCTGCTCTCATCTAAAAGCGATGCCTGCAAACCAGAGATTAAGATGCAAGATACACACAATTAATTTGATTTCCTTTGAAACCGGAGTGACCCGAGGAGCTCTATGTGGTGCATTCAGAGAGGGGCACCCACCAGCGCAGGACACATTTCCCAGTGGGTCCCCTGCACCAAGCGTCCCCGGGTGGGTGCTCCAGCCCAGGCTCCCCATGGGAGGAGGGTGGCCAAATCATCCCCCCGATGCCCCCAAACAGGAGCTTTGCTGTGAACTGCTCCTATCCCCTCCCTTCCTCCGAGGACATAAGCTGAGAGCACCGTGGGTGCCTCATACACTATTTATTGTTGTTGTTGTTTATTATTAAAGCACCAACCAGCTTTTCCTGGGCACCGTGCTGGAGGAAATGTCCCATAAACTGTTCCCTGTCCCCCGTGCCCAAGCCTGGATGGGGCACGTGGAGCTGGAGCAGCTGCAGGCAGAGTCTCACCAGCACCGTCCCCGGTCATCCAGGGGGACAAGGTCCCGTCTGCTCGGAGACCCTTCTTCCCACAGAGGCCACAACCGAGCGCATCCAAGGCAGGCAGCTGAATTAAAGCCAGCCCTCGCTGGAGGCAGCAAGGGAGAGCCAAGCATCTCACACCAGCCCCGCAGCATGTTTCACCCTCCGCATCTTGCAGCTTCCAGCACGGTTTGCTGGGGGAGCAGCCCCAGCTGCCGCCCTCCCCGCAGCACCGAGCCCCCCGCACCGGGGAGCGACGCTCAGGCTCCTCACCAGGAGGTATCGGCCAAAAATGAACCTCGCCGGGTGAATTATACAAAGTTTTCCAGGGCTCGTGATCGGGACTTGCAGCTTGTCCTCCGCCTGGAGGCCGGATTCTGCACCTGGGGAGGCTTTGCTAGTGCACACGAGGGTTATTTTGGGGTGCCAGGCAGGGATAATGGGGTTTTTTTAGGCACAGCAAAATCTAATTGCATCTTAAGTTCCCTTTGAGGGGGAGCAGCCCCCCAGGCGCCGAGGAGGGCTCACTCTGCGGGGTCTCATCTCCCAGCCCAGAGAGCAAGGATGTGACAGGAACCAGAGATGGGGAAAGGGGGAAAGTAGTGTCTGACCCAGGATGCTCTCGACCAGAGGGCTCTTTAATCTGCCCCCCAAAGGCATGGCAAGAGCCAGGGCAACTCAAATTAGAAACAAGATGTTGGGGTTTTTTAAGCAGCAGAATTAATTAACCACTGAAGCAGCTTTACTGGTAGCGGGGGACAGCAGTCTCCATTTCCAAGCACCACGCAGGGATGCAGCTCTCAAAGAGATGCTCTAGTGAAGAGGCTCACAAATTTCTCAAGCCCAAGAGACCGTCACCAACACCTGACATCCCTCCTGGCTACTGCCAGCCGAGCCCAGGGGTGCTGGGGGGCCCAACGGGGAGGGGGAGGAGAGCAGGGGTGGTGGCCATCACCTCCCGGTCCTCCCCCTCCATCCACCAGGGATGTCAAAGGCTTGTTTGGGGAATGCTTCTCCTCCAGCCTGTCCCATCAGGTCTCACCCCCTGCCACTGGTTTCTCTCCCATAAACCACTCGTAGCTGTTCATCAGGTTTAATTTCTCCCCCCCCTTTTTTTTTTATTACCTTCACTTTAAGGATAGCAGTAAAAGTCCTCATTTCTGCTTCTTCTGCACTCTACCCCTCCTCCTCCTCCTCTTTTTCAGCGCAAACAGCATCGTGGATCTCATATGCAACTGAGCTTCTCTCGACAAAGCCAACCGAGAACATTGCGTGCCAGGCTCTATTTTAAGCACCTAATAAAACTGGGTTTTGGAGTGGCTCCATCATTGTGTCCTTCTTTCGCAGAGCCCTTGCACCTGCCGAGGGCCCCGTGGTGGAGATGTCCCGTTCTCAGCGCCCATCACTGGGCGGCAGGGCTACCTGTCTCCCTGCCTGTCTCCCTGCCTGCACCAAAGGCTTTCCGGCTCTGGGAGGAGCGCGACAGGCACATATTTATTAGTTCGTTACAGAATCAAAGCAGGCCTCTCCTCCTCTCTCCAGCACTTCCTCAAAAATTATTTAAATTAAAACACCCGACCTCCCTGGGAAATGTCAGTGCTGTTATCCATATGCATGATGCCATTATGATGAAGCAGGTGCAGCTTTCAAAACCTTTAGGAAAATCTACCTGTCAATCTCCACGGCAAGCAGCTCTCCTTCCAAATGCTTCATCGCTTCTCCCCCTCCCTCCTTTACCGCTGATCTACAGGTGGGGAAACTGAGGCAGGGATCTGCTTAGTGACTTATGGTTCTCGGTCCCTTTTCCCCTTCCAAGCACAGCCTGGGGTCAGGAGACAAGCGCTTCTTTGGCCTTTCCATCCCAAAGTCACCAAAGAAAGGAAGAAGCAGCGAAGGCAGGAGTCACGGAGGAGAAACGATTGCAGCTCATTTATTTCCCGTTGCCTTTTCCAGCCTTTCGGAGCTGAAGCAGCTCCTGCCCCCTCCTAGAGCAGCCCGGCCGGCCCGAGTAAATGGATTCAGCTGCGTTCAAGTGGGCAATTGAGGCTAAAATCAGGCTGATGGAAAGCAGCGGGGCAGGAGAGGTGGCACGAGGTCAGTTTGGAGCCGTTAGAGGCTAGAAAAGTGCTGACCGCTCCAGGGGTTGGTTTGCAATTA